TCGGTGCGGCTATGGAGACCTGATAATTAGCCACTATCTCGACTAAAATCATTGTTCGGTCTTGGTGCCGATAAGATCGCCACAATGCAGATTTATAATACTAATAATAATAATTCGCATGAAATGCTGAGATATTTGCAAAACTCCGGACCGTAGGTGTATGCAGTGGGGAACGAACACGCGCTGTTGTCCTTACCGGGGAGCAGCGCACTTCACCACCACACCATCCTGGTCCTTCGTCTTGTCTGTCCTTCGTCTTAGTAATAATATAATAATAATAATAATAATAACAATAATAATAGTAATGAATAATAATAATGATAATAGTAATGATAACAACGACAACAACATCGTCTGAGCCTTCTAATAAGCCAGTATGCGTTCAAGTTCGACATGTTGTGTAGTCGTCGAGCGACTTCTTAGAGTATTCCCAAGAATCACTGCCGTAAAGGTGACTGTCTATGCCGAAGACATGGCAGGTCCTAACACGGCTGCTTCGGTAATTCCTATATTCGACTGGCGTCGAACGAGTCAGTGAAGGGAGAGTACATATACTCATGGTGTAGGAGAACCTTCACACAAATCCTATGATATCTACAACCTACAGGTGACACAGAAACGCATGCGCGTACACGATCCTCGTCTTGCATATGAGTGGGTTCACGGCAATGGTGAAATTTATGCAGAAATTCTAGCAATTAATCTGTGAAATCAATAAAAATTGAGAACAATATATGAGAAGAAGTTCGAAGTGAACACTTTTTGGAAATGCCATAAATTGCGACTACCACGTGCGCTTTCCAAGGCTAAGCTGTCCTAAGAGTAACACCTCCGCCCCACATTGGTGCCCCAATTTTTAGCACCCATCATCCATCAAGCATGAAATGCCAGCGTGAATATCGGATCTACATTTAAATTAATTGTTAGGTTAAAAACCATTACGTCGTCATATTTGGAGAAACTACTTGGATAGAATCTTCCTTGTTTTTAAATTTTTGAGCTTACATGGGGTTGCCAAACTTATTTCGGCTAACGTTTCGACGTCTTCGCCTTTATCAGAGCCGGTGATCCGTGTCGGTGGTCCACAGCTGTTCGTTATCTCGATGTGGTGTTTTCGTTGTCGAACCGAGACGGGATATTCTTCAGTGAACACCGTACGAATAAGCCATGCACACCCATCAGTGCCCTTTTATACAAGACTGTTGTTGTTGATAAGACTATCCGTTGACAATAGTTTGTTTTTCAACGGATAATCCACCCTGTAGCAGCCGGTATTATGTTAGCTAGAACTGGGATAATAACAAAATTAACCTCGGTAGTGAAATAAACAACATGTTTTTAAATGGTTGAGCGTACGTACATGAAGTTGATTTATTTTATTTATTTCAGTTAACCTTTCGACGTCTTCGTCTTCATCAGAGCTAATGACCCTGTGTCGGTGGAATCTTTTTTTGGAATGTTTTGCCTCATATCTTAAACCGTTTTATTGTGGTTCCATATAGATTTACTGCTCCTCAAACGCAAAGTTACCACTGAGCAACTTTAGGACGCCATGGAGACGAACGGAAGAAGATTTTAATGGTTTCTGAGCGATGTATTAGAAGTCAGCAAAATCACAAGTGATGGAACTGGTACAATTGGTGCATTTGTCTCTCAGCCTTGCACTAGTTCATGAGAATGTTGGGTGCTCACGATCGTTTCTCAACTGCTCAATGACACATAGATATTCAATTGAACTTTCTCGTTATACAGGTTTCGAGACATCACGACTCCTCTTACAAAAGTCATACAATGAAGTATTATAACCAGGTCTGTGAGAGCGGGATATTAAGGGAATGTTTACCGCAAAAACAGCCTCCTTTATTATTACTGCACTATCGGATATCACGTTTTTCACATCGTGCGGATTCTAACACGTTTTGTATTCGAGTTGTTTTCTCGCCGCATGGCTTAGTCTGCTGCTTCATAACCTTCATTTCCTTATGAAAGTCGTTGAATTCTGGTAGAGTCGATCTTCCCTACAGTGCATGGTTAGCTGGGCTGGGGTGTTCCTACTTGGACTGCAAAGAGTGAGCATGGTCGAGACAAATCTGCTGCTAATTTTCCGACCCCGGCGAGATGAGATCCTTAGTGTGTCCAAAGAGGGGCCGCAGACTGCTGCGTTGATCAACCTTTAGTCACGGGGATGATTACAGCTTATGTCAATCGGGAAAGCAGGGCGAAAAGCACTTTTAGAAAAGTCTTAAACTTCGATTGAAAGGAACACTTGCTAACAGCTCAATTACATTCATATAATGAGTGAAAAACAAATAAATTGGACGTTTCATGAACGGATACTTGATGAAGCAACTGCAACTGAAAACCACGTAGAACCGGATTCCACTGAATTGCGGCCATGAATGATCAGGTGTCAGTTTCGAGACGACCATCAGTTGTTTACGGCCCAAGCACAAGCTCTGCTCACCACAGTGACGCCCTCCACATAACCCCGTGACCACCACGGTGCCATCTACTTCTCCACAGATTGTTCTTTTTTCATATGGAAACACAGTTGATCAAATTGTGCTCTAGATTTCAACCAGTTTTCTAGAACTCCCTAAGCTTTCATCTTCTCCTTACCCTTTAAAATTTTATCGATTTCATTCACCTTCTATGATTTTCCGCTATGGAAAAGTCACATTTCAGCAGACATAGATAAATGTGTTATCCTTGGTATATTTTTCGAAAGTTTTTACGTACTGATTTTCACTTATTCCATTAACATGTTTGTGGAACAAAGGTTGTACAATCCAACAGAGGATATTGAGGAGCTGCGGGCTAAGTGAGTTGCATTGGACAGCACAGACAATTTCGTGATGAATAACATTTTTTTTCCAATTACCTTTCCACGAGTTATCTAAGAGAACTTCCAGGGCACTAAATTATTAATGGTTCTTCTTCAATCGGCATTTAAAATAGGTCTTTTCAAAAGTCTGTTTTGCTTGTATTTCAATAGATTGGACTCTGGGGACCGCGTGCTGGTAGATTTGGAAATTTCAGCATGACAAACGTAAAGTGCTTAAAAGGATTCCAAAAACTCCATTTATGCTCCGCTCCTTCCATTGTCATCGCTAGTTTCAGAGGTTTGCCGTGGGTTGTGGCTACTTGTCTCGTTGTCATTGTTTTGCTATCCGGCATCGCTTTTTACTTCCTTTTCACAGCTGAGATTACAAGCGATCAAGTAGTGACTGCACTCTCACCTCCCCATACTTATCAGGTAAGAAATAAGTTTGCTAAAACAAAAATGAGTAGTCGACACATACCATTTCATTTATATGCTAACATGATGTTGATAAAATACTCTGTTCGGCTGACGTTTCGGCACTTTCACATCCCTCAGTGCTGGATTGACCCGGGTTTTTGTAGTATAAACGAGCCTTTTTTTTAGCACAAATTCAGAATGAGGTGCATGCGTTTGGCGTTTACGGTAACAAAACGCTGCATTTGTGAGGCATTTTCGCTTCGTAACAATCTAAACGAAGGTTATTCGTCTGCTTTATGGCTTTTAGCATGACTCACAACTTTCCTCTTTGCGTTCAATTTTAAATAAGGGAAATATATTGTGGAATTTAACCAAGCTATCCTATCTACTATCAAGTGCCACTAATTAACGAGTTCCAGGCAAACTTTTCTGAAATGGACAACGCTTTGACGGAAGAAACTCGTTTAGAGTCTTCTTCACCGCATACTGTAATTCCTAGTGAAATGCCGAAGGTGTGTGGAGCTTTCCCTGTTTTTCAATCTCTGTCAGTACTTTCACTATTATAGGTCTTAAATGAGTGGTCGCAACTACCTCGGAGCACTTCAAGAAGATTTTTACACGCAGCTGTTTCTTGTCGGAATGAGTTTTGTGCAGAAGTCGGACGGTACGACATAGTTTTTAATGATATTCTACTTTGTTTCTGCGTAGAGAAAAGATTTTTCGTGTTGTTGACATCATTTGTCATTCCTTCCTACATAGCCTTCTTGAGCTATAGTATTTTTCAAAAATCTTTCTCAGTAGAATTAACAGTGCCTTAACTTCTATCTGCTGCCTATTCTCTTTTTGTACTAGTCACCACTAGGGTGCCAAGACATGAGCAAAAGTCGGAGTCTCAGGTGCTCTTCGAACCAGTTTTACCCTTTCCGGAAGCGCACATGCTATCTACTACACCATCCGCGACCCTTGCATTGCCTTTCTCTCCGCCATATTTTTAGAGTAAATAAAAGTTGAGACATTGTGGTTTCAACTGCAGCTTTAGGTTAATTGAGTTTAGTGCCGGTTTGTGGTCACCAGGTCCCTCCCGTTGACGGGTGATTGCTGATAGCCTATCGTTAGAGTAAGAAACTGGCTTAGATAAGTGCAAATCATGGGCCTAGGTTGGCGTGCGGATAGTATGTGAGCATCCTGTAAGAGCAATCACGCCTTCGAATCCCAGTTGATTTTTCGAGCTTTGCTCATATATCAGGATCCTTGTAGTTGTATTCCAGGCAATTGCTGGGCTATGAACACCTTTCTAATTTTATATAAACTGCTTACAAAATCGGTTAAAGGAATGTGCATAATCAACTTTCCATTGCTGATCAGTCATCTGCTTCTAAGTAGTGGACTTCTAGTGAGAATTACATGAAAGTGCAGCATATTACACATTCGGATTGTCGACTCAGTCTCTCTATTGTTGTGTGTTTATTAGTTGGAAACTTGGGGTCACTTGTTTCTTCTTGTCACATCCAGAAAACGTCAGTTGATTAAAGGGTTTTCAGTAGAAATACTGGCAAATAACTTATAATCTACAACTGCCCTATATAAACATGGATAGCAGAGAACTACAAGAATATTTGTAAACTTATTTCTGAAGTTACTGATGTATTGCTGTTGAAGTGTGTTGACCTATTTCTGCTAGAAACCACAGTTCTTCATTCATGAACTCAGCCGTGATGAGGTGCCAAATCATTGAGAGACTATAGATGACGTGAGTTGTATGACTCCAGTATGTCTGACTGTCGACTGTATGTCTGACTCCGCTCATATCCTCTTTTTTCGGGGACAAAACACTACTAGAGATGAATATAGGGTGCAGCTAGACTGCCTCTTTGCAATCAGTGTTTTCGAGAACGCTAAGGAACAGCTGTTATTTTCGAAAGGGTCTTGACCGTGATCATTCATATTGAGTAACGTCATCGACTGTGAATAAAAACTTCGAACTAACAGATGGTGAGAATTTCTTGAATATTTGAAGATCTTGGTTCTATTGAACGTTCTACAAAGGCCCGAAGTTAATTTTAGGGCAGAAAATAATCATTTTCGGTTAAGTTCTTCACGAATAACTGGAGAATAGGTTTTGCTTTGTGTTAGTTACTTTGCGATCGCAGAAAATCAGCTTTTTTTTCTTCTTTATGAATTCAAAACTTCTTAAGATAAACTTGGTCCACCGCAAATTCCTCACCTTCGGTTTCTGCATAAATGAACTCCACAAGTAGTCCTAAACAAACTGCGTTCAACATTCAACATGGCGTTCCATGCTGAAAATATCTGTTGAAATTTTCAGCATTCTTCACCAAAGATTTTTTTACTAAGGTGACTCACTCAGTACAGAAACTGGTGGAAAAGTGTGGGCCGTTTCTAACATTATCACCGAACTTCATTACAGTGATGTGCTAATTCGTGGAGGAAATGCCGTGGATTCTGCTATAGCGACCGCCGTTTGCGTAGGAGCCGCCCATCCACACAATAGCGGATTTGGTGGCGGAATGGTGATGCTGATACATAAGAGGTAGTGAGAAGACCACTTGCACTCACGTCAACTCGTGTCGATAAGATGCTTATACATCTGAGTTATGATCTTTTCTATAAATAGAACAGCAGAGGTGTTAAGGAATTCTTTCCTTTAATTAAGAAGCACCCTTTCGATTCTCTAGAATTAAGCTTTATTCATTACTAAGTTGGCTGGATGGAGCAGCATCGCAACAGTAGTGATGCCGATCATTGCGCGGATGGCCCAATCCAACCAAGCGCGATCCCGTTCGTAAGTCACTTAGCCTACCACCCCAATGGCGGGAACGATAAGTCAGTAAAACTTGTCTGAGCCTAGCCTGTTTCTCCAATCCATGTGGGAACTCCTTCATGGCTATTCAAGGATCCCACAGAGAATTGATTCGACCGGTATTCAACGACATTCTTGAAGAAGTCGAAAATTCTTAAGCAGCAAGCTACGCCAGAAGCAAAATCGTTGAAAACCTTTTGAGTGCAACCAGCATTGGAATTCGAACAATGTGATAAGTGTGAAGTCTGGTCGTGAAACAAATGAAAATCCTCCTTTATTCTTCGTTTAAAGAATTAAGATATCATGACCATGACTAATTTTTGCTCTGGAATACACTGAAAGAAGTCTAAGTGAACAAAAATCAATAAATTATGAAGCGAAAAACTATATTCCTCGTTGTTTTTCCCAATCAGCCTATAGCGCTCTGATAAATCTCAACATCAATGGCAATCATTCACGTAGTGCTTTTAAAAACAAGGCTGTTGTGAGGAAAACGTCCTCGATGCGGTGGACAAGAGAAGACAGGTGTTGCCAAGGAGCAGTACCCGTTGCACTTCATCACTGGGAAGATTTCGTTGAGGACTGGTACTTCTGTACTTTATGAAAAAAGAACTTTAAAGTGTGTTGGTCATCTTTCATCAGGTAATTGGTTCACATCATTGAGGCGTATCAGGTGCTTGAAATAAAAGGGTTTTCACGGAGAAGTGTAGGCTGGCGTAAACGGTTGCTGCAAAGGGAGTCACTTTTCATTTGTTTCACTTATTAGTAATGCAAATGTAATACATGGCACTGTAGCACAGTGGTCAGAGGCGCCTTGAAATACACATTGGATGGAACATCGCGTCCCAGACTCACCAAGCTTTCCATCCCTCCGGGGTCGGAAAGTTGGCAACAGACTTGTCTAGGAGGATAGCACCACTGGCCCGGTATATTGGTAGGTCGCGGCCAGTCATTTTAAAGGCCTGTTATGCATCCAACCACCTCCAACGATGCGTAATGATGTCGAATGCATGACTCTTCCCTCAGAGATTGATCAACATCGAGAGTTTTATGCTTTTATAACTATATTACAAATGTTTCAAATATCACTTATATCACTTGTCTTCTCGTTGATGGTCGAATGACTCGAGCGAACGCCATTAAGTTTTCTGTTTCGCTCTGTAGTGTGCAAGACTTACCCAGTGGATTCTGCTCACTATAGGAGCTCGTTGAGTGTTGCACCTTCATTCTACGATTTCCGTGAGTAACTCCCACCATGGGATCGGTGGTAGCTCCGCTGTCGATTTGATATCTCGATGAAACCAGTCACTAACGGCTTCTGTATATCAGTTGTCGTTCAAGCGCCTTACATGTCCGGCCCACCCAATTCTTTCGTGGAGAATGGTGTCTTTCATTTTTGATCGTCGATTTAGATTGAAGCTCTGAAGATTTTCCCTCACTTGTGTTATACCTGAGATCGTCCTTTCGAATGTGCGTTCTATGACGCTAAGTGATCTTTCATCCTGCCTACGTAGCGACAAGTTTCTGACGTATGCGTCAAGGCAGGAAGAATCGTGGGGTCGAAAAGGTGGTTGACACAGAACCGACTATTCTTTGTTCTCCGTAGTACTTCATCGATGCTTTCGAAAGCTTCTCAAGACGCTCGCTTTCTCTTGTTCATCTCTGGTCGTTCATCTTGCTGATTTTCCGACCGAGATAGACACAATTGGAGGATTCGGTGATATTCATTATTACGTTAAGCATGGGCATAGTAACCAATCCGTTCTTCACAAACACCGTTTTTGTGGGATTAAACCGAAGATTGATTTTTCCACAAGTTTTGTCAAAACCGGTCTGCATTCGCTCTTCTTGGCTTATGCTTGGTGCTACAAGCACGATGTCATCAGCCAAGCAAAAATACTGTAATTACCCACCATCGACTTTCACTGTCGTGTTATTGCATTCCAACCATAATTTCGGCGAGGTGATATCGCCTTGTATAATCACTGCTTTTACCTCGACGTTGATACCGTTGGAGAATAGTGATATTTTAACTGTGAAGTTTTTATACAGCTAATGACGAACCTTGAGTACTGACTAAGGACGCCTTGGCTCCCTAGGGCTTTCGTGACTACTTCAATCTTAACTGAGTGAAAAGCCTTCTTCAAATCAAACGAAATGAGTCAGAGCGCTCTTTTATACTCTCGCGATACTTCAATGAGTCAATGTTTTTCATCAATAAGCAGACACGAGGTTGTTAATATAGAATTTATTAGAACACAATTGCTGACGTTTCGGC